TCATGGTGGGAACCATGCACGTAAAGTGTTGATGACTGTCTGAGGCTGGTTAGCATGAATTTATCCTCAGCAGCAGAGGTGACTCTTGGTCTTTCTTTTTCTGTAGTGGTCAATAATGTGAGCCTGTTTCGTCATAGCGCTTGATGGCTTTTACGACTGCACTTGGGGACACATTCAAAGTTTTAGCAATTTTCCAGACTGACTGACCTTCAGTTATAAAAGTAATGATGGACTGTTGTTTATCTTTACTTAGCTGATTGGTTCTTGCCACAATATGAATTCTAACAGTTGTCAAACAGGGCTGTCAGCTGTGTACCAGCCTGGCTGCTGCACAACACAAAGGCAAGAAATTCCACAAATGAAAGCTGTGAAGTGAAAACCATTTCATGTGACTACATCATGAAGTTCACTGACAGAAGGCCAAAGGTTTGCAGCACTGTCAACAAAGCAAAGGATGGCTACTTTATGAGACATATTTAGAGTTATTTATCCATTTTTTTCTTTGTTACATTATTCCATATATCTTGCTTCATATAGTTAATATTTTCAGTATGTATCTACAATGTAGAAAGTAGTAAAAATAAAGAAAAAAACATTAAATGAGAAGGTATGTCCAAACTGGTAGTGTGTACATTATATATTTATGTCATGATGCATACTCAATCAGGTAAGTAAATCCCAAAATGCTGATTCTGTTCATCTGGATGTGGCGTTTTCAGTGGGAGAAATGTTTCGTCACTCATCCTGACTTCTTCAGTCTCAACTGACTGCAGGTTTCCCCAACCTTATAAACAGTACATGTGCACAATAACTGAAACCTTCCCACTGAATGAACAATGGGCTGTGAGGTCAGTTCCTTGATCATTATTATGCAAACTGTGATGACCGTTGATCAACAACCACTGATCAATGCCCATGAGTACCATTCACAGAGAGTTGTAAAATGGCGACAGATGTACCCTTAGGCCCCCTCCTCGATTCAGAGATGGTCTTTCCCTTTTCACATAAATGGCCTCCTTGACTCCGCGCTCAAACCAGCGTTTCTCCCTGTCCAGGATGTGTACATCCTCACCAATGAAAGAGTGTCCACTGGCCTGTAGGTGTAAACAGACTGCAGAGTCCTGGCTCTTCTGTGTTGTGCCATCCACTTTGCCAAAGGTTGTTTGGTTTCTTTGAGGTGGACCAATTTTTGGCACAACATGTATAGCTATAATCTCTCTATAGATATCTCTATATCTCTATATCTATATCTGGATATATCCTGTGACTTTTCATGTGATTAAAGCATCTCGGCCTGCTGTGTTCTTGCTCGTTTAAAGAATCACAGTAAAAACTACTGCAGCCCACGAGTTGCTTTTACTTTATTAATTCTGTGTCCTGTGGACAGTTTTGTGGGGGTGGGGAACTTGGATAGCGGTCCATCTTTTTGATAACAGACACTTTAAAAAAAAAAAACAAAAAAAAAAAACTCTGAAGCTTATATTACCAGCAAAATGCTTAGTGTTTGCAGGGTAGTTTAAAGATATGAAACATGCTGAAAAGAATCTTTAACATTCAATCCTAAAACTACAAAAAAAAAAAGGTGATAAAAAGCAGGACGGATAACGCATCTTTCATGTCGGCACTGAACATATACTGGACATAAATGTAGCAGCAGTCCAATTCTTATCATCTGCGGCCATGCAAATCCTCAAGTAGGTCAAAGAAACATCCTTTGCTTTGAGGAATTTAGGCGTGTGAAGATCTCCGTGTGTGATCTAGAGGAGTGAAATAAATGTTAGCTTTTACATAACTTACCAAGCAAAGCAGACAGGATTTTTTCCCCCCTCCATAAATTATGGATCTCTGCCTGTCTCTATATCAGAGACATCCGACCTCCAACCAACCATCTCCTCAGCTGCTCTCCATACATGCATATGTATAACACAAGCACAGAAAAGGGAGGCAGCAGGGCTTGCGGTTTCAGCGAAGGGAAAAGGATGCTCGGCACTTCCCTTGTCAGAAATGCTTCTCTTGGCCTGAAAGTCATTTTCCCTTCCAGATAAAAGCTCGGTGATGGAAGGTGTGCTTCTGAGCAAAGCAAACGGTGATGTGAGGATTTTTAAAAAAAGAACGAAAGAAAAAAAAAGTATATCGCCTGAGCAGAGCGGTCGAAAAAGAAGATAGGAGGAAAAGGCAGGATGTGATGGTGGAAGCAGAGGCAGAGGAGGCGAGATGAAGAGATGATGAGATGAAGTAAAGCCTCGCTGTCAGGCAGCAGCTGAATATGGATCTGGATGAGAAGAGTCACTCCAAACCTGATCAAACAAGTCATCAGCTTTAACTTTCAGCCTGTTCCAATAATGCTTTAAATGCTTGGCTCCTGCATTATTGAACAGCACTATATGCTACAGCAGGAGAATCGATTGCAGGCAGAAGCTCACGGCTGATCTCGTCTCTGCAGTGACTCACGTTTCATTGCTCACCCTTGTGTTGGCAGAGAGCTTAATGAGCACATTCTTGATAGCCAGGTATTATTAAAGGCTAACTCGACACATTCGTGTCATTACTAAAGCTTTAAATGTTCTCATCCAACAGCTGTCTCGCTGGACATTTCCCTCTCACTGAGGTAGAGATGCCTCTTGTTGCGATTATGATATTATCAACACAGGCTGCTTTCTGCTGCACAACATTAATGGATTTTCTGTTGGCAGTGCCAGGAAAAGAAGCACAGAGCTGAACTTTGATCACACGAGCAGCTTTGTTCTGGTGTTCAAAGGCTGTCCCGGCACGGGGAAATCCAGTTCATAGATGCACCTCATCTCGACTCGACACCAAAACCAGCATCAGGGGGGCTTTGACAGCAGCAAAGGACTTTGTATCACTGCAGACCTTTGGAGTAACTACACTGATTTCAATGCTGTGTGATGTCACTGGTTTTATTGCCAATACACACTTTTAAATGACCAGAATTCACAGCTGCTTGTATATGACTTCACAAAGAGCCAATTAAAGCAGACTTGTCATTTAATGCCACACCAATGACGGTGACCGATGAAAGGAAACTAGGCTACATGCATAAAATCTATGGGGGTAGATGTGGTTAGCAACATACTATACAAATATTATACAGTAAATATACGTTCAATGTCAGCCTGTGAATTTACAATTATGGATCTCTGAGAATGAGAAGCGAACACTATATTGTGTCCTAACACAAGTTCGGCTGGAGCCAGGTGTTGAAGGTCAAAGTTTACTGGTAACGACTGAACCATGTACTGTTGGAAAGAGCAGATGCTCGAGTTTCACGTATTTGCTGATAGGTATAACAACAAGGCATAACAATAGCAGTGGCTGCTGTGATTTAAGACATGCTCAGGATGTATGGGATGAGTTTGGCCATCATATGGACATGTGCTGTGCATCTTGGGGGGGATGCTGAGCACTTGTGAACATTGTAAGCTTTTCATGTAAAAATTCTTTATTCATTTTACGCACTATTAAGTTAGAGTGCGTAAAATCCACATTTCTTATAAGGTAATTGAAGTGGATGACGGGTGTAATAACACAAGTTATCGCTTGCATCATTTTTGTAATATATCAGAAAATCCATCCATGCATCATCTTCTGCTTGTTCAGTTCTTGGACAATCAGACCTATTTACACAGCTGTGTTGAGTACATAAACAGTGGAAGAAATAACACTGATCCATACAGATTTGAGAAAACTTCAAAGAAATATAAAATGATTAAAATCAGTATTACAAATTGCTAATACAAATTTCAAAGATCTTTCTTGAAGGATGACAAAAGAAGCCGTTTTGTGGACAGTCGTCTTCATTTTTAGCAGCCGTCTGCTTTGACTGGCGATCTAACCATACAGCATGTAACAGCTGACGGATGGTTATCAGGATGGATAAGTGAAGTCTCTCACGTGGAGCCCTTCAGCTCCTTCACCCTAAAAATCTCTCTTTGACACAGTCACCAAGAGGAGCTAAAAAGCAAAGATGCATGTAAAGGAAGCAAAGAGCCATATTGGTATGAGTAACACCCACAGACAGCTTTCACACGTCCACATCCCAGGAAATAAATAAATAATTGAAGGAATCATTCAGGGATCAGGGATTTTTTGTGTGTGTGGTTTAAAGCGGGTACTAATACATCCAGAAATAACTTCCTACTGTAGGTATTATGTTGATTACATGTGCTCACTAAAGTGCACAGCTTAGGTGTATAATGTTTTTAATCCATTCCCTCCAGTTGGTTTCAGCGTCTGGTTCAACTTTAAATTTAAAACAATCTGGGAGAGAAAAAACAAAAAGCCCACTTCGGTTAGCAAATGTAACGTGACAAAGCAGACCACTGTGACCAAACAGCTGCTCAGTGTTGCAGTTTAGCACATCAGTGTTCTAAGCACTGGTTTAGCTCACTGGATCAAGTGGGTGAAGCATGTGCTACAGCAGGAGCCTGGGTTTAATTTTGCCCCAAGCTTGTTCCCTCAACGTGTCACCCCCCTCACCCCGTATGTCCCTTCTTTCTCATAAAAATAAAAAATACTGGCAGCCATTAGTGCTACCCCTCAGACACACATGGTTTCAATTTCAAAATCTTATGTGGTCTGGCGCTTAACTTATCGCATTTGCAAGTTTTTCAGAAAACTTACTGACCTTGAGGTCAAGATCAGTCGTATTCAAACTCATCCAAGATTTTTAGCAAATGCTCCTATTGTCACATCGTTCTCAAGTTAAAGCATTCACAAACCTGGGTCCATCACGCCTACCCACCGGGGTGACGACAATCCCCCATCAGGCTTTTACAGCTGAGGGGGAAAAAGGCCAAAAATAAATCTTTAATGTCAGAGAACAGAGCCAGGCAGTGTTAATTCATCTCAGTTTATTCTTATTCACATTTAAAACATTTTCATGGCAGCACATTCTTCCAACCATACAGGCGAGACATCCTGTCCTGCAGAAAAAAAAAAAAAAAAATCCCATAAAATTCTTTTTTTTTTTTTTAAAAAAAAAAAAGAAAAAAGTCTAAGGGTACGTCAGTGATTAAAAACAAAACAAAAAACATCATAAGTCATATGGAGGATAAGCAGCATTTAAAATTTTGGGGGGAAAGAAGCGTTTCCTGATAAATGTGTGTTTGTGTGTTGTAGCAGAGCGGGCCCCTGCTTCACCTTTGGATCAATCCCTATCAGTGTTAGAGGAGCTAGAGAGCCGACCAACGGCGTGTCTGCGGTCCTTTCAGTTCACTAAGCCTGACGGGGGCTTAAAAATCACATTGGAGCGAGGGGTGGAGAGATACTGAACAAAAGAGAGAGAGTACGGCTGGCAGCAGAGAGAAGGACGATTTAAAAATCTGAAACCAGAGCGGGGTTGTTTTCTAGCCTGCGTGTATTACTGCCTGCTTGTCAGCGAGTCGTCTTCTTGCTACAGACCGGGCTCACATTGTTTCTATACACAGGCTGCCTATACGTGATCCATGTGTGCCGTGTACACAGCAGCAGAAATAGAACTGCGTGTGGCTTTGCAGGGATTGTCGAGTCTCCACAGAACCTGCTGTGTTGTTGGGAATATAAATATAAATACCAATATGTTCCCGAGGAAGCCTCCACAGAGTCTGTGCACAGCAGATGTCTGGGTAAACTGTTACCCGAAAACCACAGCATTTCTATCTGAGGACATGTGGTTAGACTCGACATAGGAAAATGGATTGACACGTTCTCTTTTAATCTCTCGCTCCCTTCATTTCATTCATCAGCTCCTATAGTCATCTGTCAGAAGATGGAAACAAGTCAAAAAAAAAATAAAAATAAGAGCATAAAACCAGAAGATAAAAACACCCAAAATGGAAAACCCCCAAACTTGTGTAAACAAAACCCTTTGCGGTGGCATCTTAACCACCTGTTCAATGTCATCGCCTGCATCCTCAGCAGATGTCTGATGTTCAGTCCAGAGGCTTACCATAAGAACAAATGGGCCTCAGTTTCTTGCTGTGTGCGTTTAATGTGTATGTGCCGTCACTGGTACTGGAGGTAGTTCTTTAGTGTCTGCGGCAAGGGGAGTGTGTCAATGTGATGGATGCGCTCTCTACCCAGAGCCAGTCGAGCTACTCGTCTGCACAGGTCCATGAGGGGGAGGGGCTCCGCTGTTAGAGACAGAAGAGAGCACAGACACGGGTTAGAGTCCAAACGGGCCAAGGAACAACTTCAAAATGCTCCAGGTATAGATGACAAATCATGTCCAGAGTCATTTTAGTCACAGTTTACATTAATTTTTAAGTTTGGGCAATATTTCCTGTGAGGCAGGAAAGCATAAAGAAGCATAAACATGTAGACACATTTCATATCAAGGACAGTAAGACACTTTGCAAAACAAAACCGTAGGTCATGGTAGTAATAAACTACAAACTTTTACACCAACTAGATTTAGGACACTTAATTGACAAAAACTGAAATAGTTGGATGCTTTCAAAGTGACTAAATGACCTTTCAGTCAGAACTAAAACACTGCTGTCAAAATTAACAGCGCCTGCAATAAGAGAAAGAAAAGCCCAGCAATCAGACGACCCAACGGGCAAGCAAGCAATTTGGAACAGCGGGAAGGAAGAACCAGGCGCAGGGAGGAGCATTTGCCACTAATGGCTGAACTTTTTTGCATTTTGAACCATGCAAAACTACTCTGGTCGAACCCAAGAATAACAAGCAGGGAGCTAGGAGTGAGCATAGGTCGTCCCTTTTAAGCCTCATTAACCATTGTAAACCAGAGGGAGCAAACCCAGTGATACATGTTAACATTTGTTTCATCGTTTTGTGTCATTATAGAGCAACTGCTGCTGCAGTTAACAGACACTCAGTGACGGGTTGTCAAGTAAACACCAGGAGCTGACATTCTGTGCAGAGTGTAAAATGCTTTGTTTGATTAGGACTTTGCTAAATTATTACTGCAAAACACAAGAACACGAGGAATTCCTTTCTTCTTTTTAACGGACTGATTGCACACAAAGAAAAAGGTTTATGAGTGTGATCATAAGGCAGATGCGACCTTGTATGAATGCAACTCTGTTGTTCTGAAGTGTAAAACATCAGTCAAACTAATGTTACAGCACTCAAAATGTAATAGCCTTTTTTGGGGTGGGGGCAATCTCACGACTACTTTAATTATGTTGCATCTTCATACATGTAAATGGAAAGAGAAGCAGCTGTTAACAACATTTAAATATATACACTTGTCATCACTTCCAACAGAGTGTGCCCAGCAGAGCACGCCAACTTCCCTCCCACCAGTTTTAGAGGCAACTGATGTCTGTGCATGTCACACAGACAAGCCTCTTAAACTGCTACCCCTGTACGGATGTCAAGCTGCTCCACCTGGAAGCACCATCTGGTGAAGCAGAATTCCTGCTGCTTGGAGTCCACTTAAACACGGTGTGAAGGACATGAGGAGAGACGTTTACACCTGCATAAAAACCCAGTTACACACACACACACACCCTCTAGTTGACGGTTGATCTGATATCCTCGTGTTGGTGTTGTTCCCAGATCATCATACTAAATGTTGTTCCAGGATCAACATTGCGCGCACACACACGCGCACACACGCACACACACACACACACACACACACACACACACACCATTGAGAACATCTGCCAGTGACAGGTTCTTAAGAATTAGGATGGGAATCTACACGAAACACTAAAAACACAGACTGGATCAACCCAGCCGTTGATTCAGCAAAGACAGTAAAGTGGTGCAGTTTTATGTCTATGAAACTATGATCAATCCCAAATGTGCAAAGCTGACTGATTATGACACTTAGGGTGGGTGTAATATAATGGGGCCAGTTCCCGTACTTAAGTCATAATTTTTTTCAAGCCTTTTTGAGCCCTAAACTAAAAATCAAAATTTCAAACCACTCATATGTACTTCACGGTCCTGTTACTCAAAATATCCACAGTATGAAAATGAAATAAATTCTGAGAGTTGGAACTCGTTCCAGATTTGACTGCTTTTAGATGGAACAACGTCAGACTGACTGTTTCCGGAACCTGCTTACAGTCTGAAGCAATGAAAATACATTTTAAACATCCACAGATGAGCAACAAGGGCTATGACTGACCGAACCCTTACTCTCTACAGTTAACAGTATGCAGCATTACCACAAACCGAAACCCTCTGCCAAACTCCTATGATGTGCATACATGAGGACTATTCTGACAAGTGTTCATGGAAATCAAGCACATGGAGCTCATCAAGAGACCTCGGGCATTCCTCTGGGCATGAACTGCTGCCACTGTGGCTTCATGACCGCTGAATGGCAATCACAGCTGAAAGGCAGCAGGAGCTGGTGAGGCTGGACAAGCACACATCAATACTAATTAAAAGCCGCCTTCATCATTTTATGTCTTTGTTACAATCAAAGCTGATGGGCTTTCCATCCTCATGCTTGTCATGTTATTTGTAAATCATGGCGAACATCCCACCAAATCTCTCTGCTGTGGTTTTGCTAAGTGACGTTTTGAAAGCACAGTGAGGGGAAGTGATGAAATCCAGCAGCTGAACAGGCATAAGGAAATCGAGTAGCGCTGTCTGGATTTATGTGAGTGCCGCATGCTTAATGAGAAGTCTTTGTTAAGGGTTCTTTGTGGACATGTGGCAGTGTGGATTTATTTGTAGCCACATCAACAAGCCCATATCACAAAGACGAGTTGAATGAACTCCGACTTAATATAGACAATGTGCAGCGATGTGTGCAATGAGACTGTACAGCCGATAATCCTTCACAGCAGCAAGTGAAATACTTGGCAGGCCAATTGCATCCCTCCAACATCTTATTAGCCTCTCGCTGCAAAGGCAAGTCCATTCTTTAGCGCAGCAGCTTAGCAGATTAGAACTTAAGTCTTTGCAATATAAACCGATGGTACAACATCATCTCCATTCAGCTTATGCAGCTTGTGACGGGCTGAACTTTGCTCTCGAGAACAAGGAACGCGCCCTTGGTGCACGTGGAGCCTGTGCATACGCATGTTCCCTTGACAGCAATCAATCAGCCTACTAGCAGTAGCCTTAGCATATGGATAGTTTCCATAGTAACCAGCTCCTTGCACCCCCACTATGTGATGTCACTGTACCGGTAAAGACACAGATGCAAATGTGCTCTGTGCAGTCCACTGTCTGCATCTGACTGCAGCCTGTTAAAATTGAGCCAAATTCAGTTGTTTCAGCTCAGATGGAAATGACTGTATTAAAAAGTAGCTTAATAACAGCAGATCCCCCAATAAAGACACAGCTGCACACCCCAATTTACAGCTACAATACCACTGCTGTAATTGGACTTCTAGGTTATAGAAGTAGGTTCTATAAAGGGTTGTTCACATTTTCACAAGTGTACTTGCACTTAGTTTTAAGCTGATTTTTTTATTTTATTATTTTTTAAACAAATGGAAAATTCTGAAGGACGTCTGTCATACTGACATAATATTGGCAATGGATCTACTGCCGCATTGAATAATTCACACTACAGTACAATTAGAACATTCTCCTTGGGACTTGGGGGGAATAAAGAAACCGGTGGTTCCTCCAGTGCTTTATGGAATTTTCTCACATTACTCCCTAGTGTAGTGGTTAACGCAATCACTTGGCAAGTGAAAGGTCACTGGTTTCAAAGGTCACAGTCCAGAAGGGCATCTGGCCAATTCTGAACATTGCAGAGGTACATGCTGTGGAAAAACGGGGTTTTGACTGCATGAGGTTGCAGACCTGGTCCTGACATTGCTTTGCATTCACTGGAAAAAGCCTCAATAATATTGATCATGTTCCTGCAGCATTAATATAAAAAGGATGAATAAGGATAGGATCGTTAAATGAGGTGAAAAATGTCAGTGACTATAAGATGTCATACAGTGTCCATGTACATGAGTCTATGGTGTTCCCAAGTACACGATGTGTAAACCAGCAGCTTGGTGTTAATGACGGATTTTTTTGCATGTTACTCAAATCAACAGATGTCATGAATCACTGTGCAGCAACAGCTTCAACCATGCATTTTGTATTTGTGGGTTCTCTTACATGCACACATCACACACTCTGATACAGTGCAATTACAATTAATGTGAGTATTTGATTATTTGGATAAACTAGTGGAGCATTGTTCTAATGGAGATTTTTCACCTGTATTGTTAAGGTGCTGGAATATCTATGACCCCTGCAGAGCGCTTCTTCCACACTGCGCTGCAGAAGTAGTGCACAGTGCAAGGGGGAGTGAGTGCTTGGAGATCTACGTTCAGAGAACCTTTGATGACTTCTGATCACTTGTGTTTAAAAAAAATAAATATAAAAAATACACATACAACATTACACAACACATTTATGTCTCCCCCTGTTACACAGATGAGATCACCATGGCTGAAATAACCAGACAGGTGTCTGTAAAAGGGGAATGCATATAAAAAATTAAAATATTCCTTTGCAACAACATTTCTTGATGTATTTGATTACACTCAAGCAACCACCCAGCTGCAGTCCAATTAGTTCATATTTTTCTGCTCTGTAGCCACACTGACTACAGTTTTTGCGTGACTCAGCTGTAATTGCAGCAAGAAGAGTCCATCTCCTTCTTGCACATTTGAAATAGGTTTAAAATTTATATATTTTTAACAACTTATAATTACATTAAGAATTTCTTTATGAGCCTGTCAGTCAAAATGACAGAAAGTCTAAAATCTGCTCAGATTGGGCCTCTGTGTGGGTGCGTGTGTGCATGTCCATGTGCATTTGTCATAAATGAGTGTGCATCATGTCAGCATTAGGTTTATATGCTTATGAATATTGATGTGAATTATGAATGCTATAAGTGGTTCCTTAATGTCTTTTTGTACTCCTATAGAGGTCAGCATGTTTAATGCACATTTATCTCAGCCCACACCTACAACCGTTGTTTTCAGAGGTACTACATGTGCATGCATCAGCAAGGAGAGCTGAGCAAAAAGAGAAGAAAAAAAAAACTTCATTATTTAGAGTGCAATGATGTCATTACATGTGAAAAACCATTATTTGCAGTATTTCACTCATTACTCTCTGACAGTGCTCTCCTGAGGGATGTGGGGTTTCTACAAACTTGCTGGAAGCCAGTCACTGCCGGCACAAG